CAATACTGAATTTTGATTGTGCATCGTCCAATACCTTGTTTTCAAACTGTTCAGGAGTCCGATAGTTATGGCTATGCATTTGAAATCCTGGCCAAGCATCCCTGCCTAAAACATGACAAAACAGAGAAAATATAACCTGGTAATGGAGTTATATGAAGAAAACATTACATTGGAATGAAAGTGGGTGTTAATTCTTTGGGAGGAAGAAAAAAGATGGGATTTTTACTATCAATGAGATGTAGAGATCAGGTAAGATAGAATCATATATAAACAACAAAGCTGCCACTTTGGGAAAGAATACTAATGGATTTGGAAACTTCCAAGCAGCCATAGCGATGGAAAGTTGAGATTGTAGCATCAATTCAAGTACCTGAAAATTCTGCAATTTTTGGCTCCGTGTGTTTACCATTGCAAACAACCACAGCCTCAAACACCTCCTCTCTAGATTCCCATCTCGACTCCGTCCCTCGAGTCCTGGACTCAACAACCCACTCGTGACTCGCCTCATCAACTCACTCAACTCGAAGCACTTCATGCCCGAATCGATTCGACTCCACCAACCCAAAGTCCCGGGCAAAATCCTCAAGGAACCTGAGCACCTCTTCATGACCCGGAAAATGTCTCGGATCCCCTCCTTCTTTCTTCATTAATGGATAGTCCAGGAAGCCCATCATGTGCCTAGGGAAGTTAACTCGAAGGGATCTGTAAAGGCTAGTTTGAACTATTTCCCGATTCGGGTCAATGCCCAAAGGGTCGGTCTCCACTCGTGGATTATAGAGCCATACGCCACCAACATTATTTCTTTTTTCAAAGACCGTGACCCGGTGGCGTTTTCTTTAAAGCTCCCTGGCCGTCATCAGCCCTGCAGTGCCAGCTCCGATGACCGCTACGATATAAGATTGTGCCATTTTAATCACTGCAACGATGAAGGCTTAGCTATTAAAAAGTTGGGTTTTTATCATTTACGCCCCCAGATTCCGATTTCTTAAGACACAAGCGAAAACCTTAATTTATCCAAAAAATAATTTTTAATGATGTATATAATTTGGTTGCCATGGCTTAGTTCCAGATACTTTCAAATTGTTTAATCTAAAATGGTGGGGCTAAGCAGGATTGCGATCTGCATCACTACTTTTGTCGGCCTCTTGGCCTGAACTGGTATCCAAAGATCAAAGCTGTAAAATTGAAATGTTAAGTAACAACAAAAGATGAAGCCTCAGATAACAGAAAAAGACAATCTAACTGTTCTACTCCAATAACCCAGTGAAGGGTAAAAATTACATTCGACAAAGAATCAATAAACCCAGAAATCTTCAAACAAGAATTACAGTTCCCCTTTCCCTACCTATTGGTCTTATAACATGTTCTTATTTAGAAACGCCGCCGTCGTCGTCATCTATCCTGGTGCTAGCTCTGGGTTTGCGGTAGTTTTCTTCAACGTGCTTGGCTATAACAAAGCCGGTATTTGCGAGCTTTCCGATGTTAGGAACATTATAATTCTGAGCAAGGTAGACACCAAAAAGCGTCCCCGCCATGACAGAGAAGGCGGTCCTTATTATACCCATCTCTTTCGATTGGATCCAAAGGAAGAAGAAACAACGCAGAGAGGAAATAAACGTAGAAATATACTGGTAGCTTATTTACTGTTGTGGCTTGGCTCAGCAAGGATGGGCAATTTATTCACCAAATTGTCGTAAGGTCCAAGTTTTCCCCTTTTTTCTTTTCAATTTACTCCTATCATGCTACACGAAACCTTCTTTCCCAAGGGTCAACCACTCAGTAGCCAATCTCATCTTCTTAAGCAAATGTTCGTAAATTAACTGTGATTCCAATCAATAAGGGGTTTTTTTTTTTTTTCGTCAAATTCTATTAACATAATTTTTTTTAATTATAAATTTTATAATATCATCAGTATTTGAGCCATCGAATCTCCTTTCTCTCAATTAAAAAAAAAAATTATAATGTCACCATGTTCTAACCAACTCTAGGACAATTGGATTAACAGGATTGATCAATATAAAGTTCGCATTCAGCCTGAGGACAATACACTGCTCTGGCTTGGTCAATAGCCAATAGGTTAATTTACTTGATTTGAATCTTGAGTAATTTGATCGTGGGAAGCAAGTAAGTTCGTCAGAATCTCAAAGCAACAAGAAATTCAAGGGAAAAAAGAAGAGGGAGGGCAAGAGAAAAAAAAGAAGATCATGCCCTTAACATAGCCATTAGCAAGGATTAATAATTGAATAATCTACATTATGTTGGCTTTGCAAGCATCATACATGTTTAATCAATGATTAGTATTATCATTATTGAATTATATTTATGGTTTCCTTCAATTTTGTTTAATTGATATTTTTAGTTTTTTCTTTTGACTTTTTTTTTTTTTATAAAAAAACAAAGAAATATTTAACCAAATATAGTCTTAATGTGAAAGATTTTTCTCTTTAAAATTAAGTTTCATTTTTTACACCTTTTGTAAGTAGAGCAAACAACTTATCAATCCCTACAAAGACAATAAACTACTACTCATAATCTCTGAATCGTGCTGCATGCCCTTCACACATACCAAAAAAGATTTAGAAACTCAAACCATGAACAAATTGCTCAAAGAAATGCCTTATATAGCATGGGAATTTCAGATGAAGAAGATAAAGCATGGAGAAAAGAACTGAAGAAGGTACATCATATGAAACCCCTTTAATATTTAATGGCAGGGAGAGAGCGGTAAGGAGGAGTCGGAAGAGATTAAGCAGAACTGCAACAGTTAAACACACATAAACTAGAAAGCTACATAACTCTGTTCTGACATAAGATACGAACAGAACAGAATGATAACTAGACCTAAATCACTTTCTTCATTCACAAGCTGCCAAGCGTTGCTGCAATTTGCTGCTCTGCTTCCGGTCCTGGATTCGCATCAGTACTGGGTTTCTTTTCCTTTGCTCCACGAGTCCGAGGACAACGCCAGTTGCCTCCTCGGATTTGTTCATGATGTTGGCAACGTTGGAATCCTCGAGTTAAAATGACCCCGCACATCGTCCCCAACAGAAACGTGGCACCAGTCTTCATCATACTCATTTTGGTTGATGATGAACTTTGTTTCAACTTGAACTTTTAAAGGATCAAAGATCGAACAAATTCAGGAAAAACTTCAGGAGTTCATGCAAGTGAAAATGGGTTTTCATTGTGCCGTTCCAAGGCCTTGTTCCCTGATCATTTATAGATAAGGTTCACATCAGGCTTACCCCTTCTCCAAGGTTCAACCCAATTTCATTATATTATTTTTGCTTGAGCTTCAAATTTCTTCTGGACCCACTCCCAATAAAAAAAAAGAAACTGATGTGAGGCGGTGTTTGTGGTAAGTTGTTTCTTGGAACGTCGTGACAGTTGACGGCTTATGGGCAGCAAGGCCAGTTACTATATGGTCTCAAAGCCCAAACTTTTAAGAATCCAAGAACCTTTTGGGCTACCTCTAAACTTAGGTGCCTGTTGGGAAGGCCCACTAACCTTCCCACCTGCATGAACCTGAAACTTTTGGGATTAAATTTTCCCATTTTGTGTCAATCTTTTATAATATAAAATTGTATAAATTATAGAAAATTTTAAATTATATATTGAGAAGTACGAATTGTATATTGAGAAATTTAAATTATGTGTGTATATATATATATAACAAATCACTTGACATCCAAATCAAAGAAAATAAAAACGTAATTAAACTTGAAAGTTTTATTTAGACTTTTTTTTAGTTATACATATAAAAATTTAATTTCAATTAACAACAATATTATAATATAATACTATAGTTTAACTAAGTAATAGTGTTATATAATAACTCTAATAAATAAACTTTCAAAGAGAAAAAAAAACTCTTAACTAATTCCCAGGCTTTTGTTCTTAAAACCCAAGGAACTTTTGCAGTAACGTTCCCTCCCACCAGCCTTGCGGCCTGTTTTAGTATTTCCTACTCTTGCATGGAACAGGATTCCAGGTTTTCTTTCACGATTTACCCTATAGTCAAAGCAATCGAGGCCAATAAAATCAAACCCCCCAGTTTTCGTCGCCATAGCTGCGCAAGAGAGGTCAAGTTCCTAGCTCAATCTGCATAACAAAGATGACAGAAAAAGGAGAAGATAGAAGCGATTGTTCCATGTGCAATAAACTCGTGTCATATTTCTTCACGATTCTGACTTGTGCATGTCTTCGCGTCATAATCAAGGAGATCGTAAGACATCCCACCGCTGAACCAAACCAATCTCCTTCAGAGGTCATAATCCTCGCACTCTCGTCGAGCTTCATGACTTTCTTCGCTCTCTTTGCGGCTGCAAGTTTTCTCATGAAAATATATGATGAACTCACGAGGCATAGAAAGATTTCAGACACATCAGAACCAGAACCTAGCAATTATCTATCCATCGTCTAGCCCTTGCTAGGAATTTGATTTTTGGACATCATAATCATACCTATAAATTTAATTTTACAGTGTACTTTTCTCCCCGATCTAAATATATTACTCTTAGTTTTAGATTCTCTGTATTATTTAATGTTTTTTTATAATTTTATATTATATGTTCAATCTTACGTTATTAAATAAAAATTTTAATCTCTTAAGTTCTAAATCTTGAATCTAAACCTTAAATTTTAATAACAGAAACAAACAAATTAATAATAAGAATGATGTTAATATAAAAAATTTACTAGACAAGTGATGTAAAATTAAGAAGATTTTTATTCATCAAAATCAACCAGACCTGGTAAGTCTCGGTTGTTTCTACCAATGGTAGAACAATGCCATGTGCTACTAGATTTACTTCTACGAATTAGGGCCACAAGCCAGGGTGAAGCCAAGGACAAATATTATGTGGGGTTTGAACAATACCAATCACAAATCCACAAAAAAAAAATCTAGCTTCCAGCTTTCGACACCATCCCTTCATATTGGAGCATCGCAAAGTTGATCCAACAAAATCTTCTCTACAAATTTAATTCTTGTGCATGCCAGCCTTGTTTTTCATTGCCTGTGAACAAGAATGGCATCGAAGGGTTGTAAGAAGGCAGCAACTCTTCTCATTTTTCTTAACATCTTATTTTTCACTTGCGTTTCATCTCATAAGGTCGTCCCATGCCCACCTCCACCAAAATCTCTACCTTCGCCTCCCTCTGTCCCAAAGAATCCTGCCAAATGTCCCAAAGATACGCTTAAGTTTGGGGTCTGCGGGTCCTGGTTGGGATTGATTCACGAGGTCGTTGGGACTCCACCTAGTAAGGAGTGTTGTACACTGATTGCAGGTCTAGCTGATCTCGAGGCTGCCTTGTGTTTATGTACTGCGATTAAGGCCAATCTGCTTGGAGTCATCAAGGTCAAAATACCTGTTGCAGTCACTTTGCTGATAAATGCGTGTGGCAAAAAGGTTCCGGAAGGATTTGTGTGTGCATAGAATTTCTTCCTCTCCTTTCTTGTCTCTGTTTCTTTTGACAGCACCATGTGACTGCAATGAAAACTATGGTTGAAATTGTCCTTGCCTTATTTTCAGGATTCTTGGTTTTGGGTTCTGTTTAGAGTTAAATGCTTAGCTAGTTAAACAGCATTCTATGCTTAGATTTTAACCCTCTTGTTTTCTCTTTTCACTGGAAAAACCTAACCAGACACAACCAAAATTATGCTCAAATTGTTAATGGTACACACACTTACAAAACAAAATGTTACTTGAAATTGGGATTGTGCTGAAAGGGATTCTGATAGCTGGCAGAATCAAACTGGTATTTTATTTCAACCTGCAAGTTCTATGATTAGAGTTCCAACACACATAAATTAAATTTACTGTTTATCTTTAAATGAATGTACTTTCTTTTTTATTTTTTGGAATGAATGTACTAATAATTTGATTAGAAAATTATTATATTTAACGATAAACGAATATATACAGCCACCATTCAAGTTCACATGACCTCCTGGTTCTGCAGTTCTGTCTCACTTACTGTAAAAAGTACAAATTGGAGTGAAAACGAAAAAAAAATTGAAGAAGAATAATAGAGAAGACAGATTTTTCTCCATGCCATGTGACATTTTGCCCTATGCAGAGTTTACAGGGAACCAGTTCCTTTACAAGTAGTCTCTGCATATCTTGCACACCGTTTAATTACTTAAGAAATCAGTAAGCGTGCATTATGGGTTTGTAACCGGGATTTTGGATGATTAAAGTCATAGATCACCGCCCAGAACTCTTAACTACGTTTCTTGTCTTTTACCACGCATTATTCGTTTTGGTTTTAAATGACGTTTGGTACTTTACAATGTAATGTGATTACAGATAATGTGATTGCAAGTAATGTGATTGTAAGAAAAATAACATTACAGTGTTTGGTATGCAAGTAAAATAATGATTAAAATGTAAAAAAAATAATATTACAGCGTTTGATTTACAAATACTTTGCTAAGAATGTAATGTTAATTTTCAAAATTACTTATAATTATTAAAATACAAGTTTAATATATTTATATTTTTTATTATTAATTATTATATAATACAATTTTTTAAATATATTTTTAATGTCATATATTTTATTTTTATTTATTATTATAATATTATATATATTATTTTTATTTTTAATATATTTTTTATATTATATATTTTATTTTAATTTATTTTATCTATATTATATAAATTTTAATTTTTTATATTATATTATATTTTTTATTTTTATATTATATATTTTATTTTAAAATTTTTATTTTAATTATAATAGTATAAAATATTTTTAATAAAGTAATAAAGTTGAAAGTTAAAATTATCTTTAAAAATATTACAGAGTGCAATGTAATGTAATTATATTATTTTTAAACTACAATCATAGTTTTTAGATTATAATTTTATATTATAGTGATTTATTATAAAACAAAAATTATAATATAATTTAATTAAACACATTATAAAATATATTCTCCCATCTCCCTAATGCCAAACATCATCTTAGGTTTTTTCCTAATTGAAAATTTGTCTCGTTCGAGATTACCCACGTGAACTTTCATCGTCGGATCTCTAAATTTTTTCTCCAGATATTGTTTTCATAATAGTTGAGCTAAAAGTCTCGTACCCTGTCCTATCATGCATGGGTCCTACTACGAAATTATGGCATGCTTTTGTTGATCTTTGAGGGTTGAAAGTAATCTTGTTCTGTTGAAACAAAGATTGAACTTTGTTTCAGTTAAAGAGTAAGATCACTATAGGAATCAACCATGCACATTAAATCCAATAAATAAAAGTTTATTTCTTCTAGAAAAAGAGCATACGGATCGAGTTGATCACCACAATATCAAACTGATGAATGACACAAACAAACGAAATGAAAGCTTTAAACAACAAAGAAAGAATCATGAAATGAAGATCAAAAGCAGAGTCAGGCGCATTGGAAGCCTTTAGGGACATTTTTACCGCAGTAGTTCAAGAGCAAGCTCAAGGAGACTGGGACATTGAGGTTGATTCCCAAAATGTTGGCCTTGATGGCAGTGCAAAGGCAAACAGCGGCTTCAAGATCAGCGAGACCCTGGATGAGAGGGCAGCAAGGGGTCTTTGGTGGGGTACCAACGACGAGGTGAATCAAGTCATTCAGTACGTTGGCACATACACCTAACTTGAGGGTATCCCTTGGGCAAGAGGCTGCGGCTGGTGGCCTCGTGGATGGAGGGTTAGTCTTTGGTGGGTGTTTAGGAGTCTTGGGCTCTGGTGGGCAAGGGACCGAAGTTGAAGCGACCAGACTGAAAAAGAGAAGGTTGAGAGAGAGAAGAAGAGCTGTGGTTGCAACAGCCTTGGGAGCCATTTTTCAAACTCTCACAGTACTCTTTAGAGTATGTCACTGCAAGAGGAAGGTATGTGTTTTTTGGTGTGGTGAATATTGCTAGCTAGTTTAGGGTTTATATAGATGGAAATTTTGATTTATTTTGGAATTAAAGAAAAAATGACACAAGGAGACCCCATGTGAGCAGATTTGATTTAAGATCAAAAACGCTGCAATGGCTGGCGGTGCCTCTTGGGAGAATAAGCCATGTTTCACACTTGGGATCACCGCTGGATTTCATTATTATGTCTTCTACCACCCCATAAAAAAAATACTACTAAAACCCTATTTGTTTTGAGACTTTGCTTTCTTTGTCTTCATCCTCAAAGTCATTATTGGCTTCTTCTTTACTTGGCTAACCTGTCTACATCTGTCATTTCTGAAAGATAAAACCTTCAAATGACTGTTACTGATTCAGGATCCCAACAAATTGATGAAAACCCTCTTTTTGCCTTGTGCTTCTCATACCATTCGAGTTGTCTAAGATCGCACCTCCCTCCTCTCCTTTGCGCAATTTGTCAAGAAATATGCCCAACAAATCTCTGAAATTTGACCAAAACCTTTTCCTAGAAAAAGAAAGCCACTCTGTCTGCATACGTCCTTAATCTCCTAACGATCACGGGTTCCATAATATTTATAGAAAAAAGAAGTACAAATAATTATAATGATGAATTTGTTTGAGGTGTCATCAACTACAAGTAGATAGAAGCTTATTTTCCGCCGTAAAATTGAAAAATTTTACACAATCTTTAATAAATTATTCACCCCAAAAGAAATCTCCAATAAAATCTGGCATAAAAATTCTAACTAGGACCTTGTTTTATCATCAATATCTTTGACTATTCCTTACAAAATTACTGTAAAATCTGTAATCCATGATCTGAAGAATTCATTCAGGGCTGTGCTCCTTTTTGTAAAATTTCCTTCATTAACTTGGCTCTTCCTACTTCTTTCTGTAAAAATTAGAGAAAAATTATCTCCAAAAAGACAGAAATTAATGAAAATTCCTAGATTCTTTCTGCTTGGTCAGGACATGGGCGTTATCATTTCAAGCAGACAAGTTGAAGCATCCGCATGCACATGTGATAACAGCTTGGCAAGTTCTTTACTGTCATTTTTCACTCTTTCTTCGGCACAGCCATCAATTTTGACGATAAAGTGCAGAAGAGAAAGTTGATAATTAACCAGCTATGACATTGCAAGTCAGATTCAGAATGATTGAGCTTGATTTAAGAAGATGAAAATGCTGCCTAAACAAAAGCAGCATTCCCCGTACTACAAACTCAATGCCCAATTATGTAAACCTAAATTCTATATTAAATACAGGTGAAAACATCTTAAAGTGTGATGTACAGAGTTCTTTGGTTTTTTAACCATATTACTAGAGAAGGTCCCAGTAAGTTTTACCATTGCTCACCATGGAGTCTGGATAGATTATATTGAATCATCTTCACATTTCAACATCAGTGCAAGTCCGAGACAAGGGAGTAGCACAAGATATATTCAGCGTTCATAGAATTGAGCCAATTCATTGAGGCTTCAAAAGAATGATTACGCGATTATGTCCAATCCGAGTCTCACTGATGCGACCAAGGTGACGTAGGACCTGTCAAAAAACATGTCAGTCTGCAAGCGTTTTCAACATGTTTCTATATAAAACATCACTTGCATAACATGACAAAAATGGAAGTGTCGTGCTATGACCATTATACAGAGCTAAACGTACAAAACAAACATGAAAATAGTTCACTTCCTTATTAACTATGATCCTTGTGCTGCACAAACAATCATAGATGGAGGTAGAATTCTTTTCCCATAAGACAAACCAGATGCTCTATTTGAAAATTCATCCCATATATCTTATAAAAAATATAAAGAACTTAGCACTCCTAGCTCACATACCATAAATCCATGCCTATTAATCAAATAACACTGTAAAACATTCATCATAATTAATTTGCATGCCACGGACGGACTTTCATTACCTAGCAAAAGACAGGAAGGGAAAGAAGGAACTCACAGTCAGAATGGCTTTTCCAGTGTTGTCAAGCTTCAATGATGGTCCTTTCATGTCACTTTCAAGGACAAAGTGCTTCCCCTTTACAGCTTCTGTCGTTGCAATATCCCTCAGTTCCTGCATAACGCAAACTTGAAACTATCACTAGCAAATAACGGCAGTTAATAACCATGTTAACTATCAATGTGCTGCATGCCAATCATTTGAAAGATAAAAAATGTGTCTAATGTTATAGAAGATAGTAAAGGAAAATATTAGTTCTTACCAGCACCTCTGATGCATCTCTTGATGAGATGTCATGGTGCTCTAACTTAAAAGAAAACGTATCATTCAGTGGAACAACACAGAAACATCAAGTGTTATAACCTGGCTAGGGTTCACTTACCAAAGCTCTCTCCCAAAGATTTTCCGCGAGCTTCATGAAGAAAGGTAAAATGTTAGCTATGACAGCAAGACTATATCCTCATAAATAAACACCAACAAAAGCTTGAACATAAACCTTCTTTTTAGGAGCTGCAACAAGCTGAGCATTGGCCTCAGCATACGTTGCCATGTCATTGATAGCTGCATTGACCTTCTCGAGAGTGAGCCTTCCTCTCATGTATCTGCGGTACAGCAACCATTTTTATAAGGAATTTGTTGTAGGATCAAAAATTTCTTAAAATGAAAGATATACTTACGATGCCAAAGAATCCAGTTCACCAGAAGTTATGTACCATAAAGGTGGAGAGCCACGGCCCTTCTTCTCCTGCCATTAATGGAAAAATAAATAAAAATCCCAACTTCAAAATCCATCAATTTTATTACTATGGTACCATTGAAACCTTTGGTAAAGCAGCAGGCTCCTCCTGGAATTTTGAAGAACCCAGATTAGGCTGCTGTCGTTGCTGCTGTCTGGAGGCTTCTGGTGACAAACTGAAACAAACGAAAAGTTCAAATTCAATGTTTCTACGTACAGGAAAATGCAACTAAAAACGTTAAAACCACAAAGTTTCCTGAATATATAATTAGAAAAGAAATATAAATGTAATTACCCTCTATCACCATCTAAATTCAATGTTGTCATTTTTTCAGGCAAATGTGAGGGAACATAAACAGACATACTCTGCAATTTCTTCTGCTGCAGCAGCGACGCAGCAATCAGTTTCTGAAATCATGACAACGAACTCAACTCAACCAAAAATTTTCCAGTAATATTCAAATTAACTTAAACAAAACACAAAGATTCCCCTATTTTCGAACCCTAATTTTTTAAAAACCAAACCGCTAATTGAGAGAAAGAAATGAAGATTTAGAAGTAAAGTACTTTGGCTTTGGGAATGGCCTCGGTTTCCTCACGCAACCGGTCTTTGATCGCCTGTACTTGCAGCTCCATCCCCTTCAATGCCGCATCAATCGCCGACAAATCAGTCACACTACTCGCCGGGTACACTGGAAATAGAAAGGCAGAATGTTAAGCTCACACGCCGGTTTCTGAATCGACTGAAACAAAATAACTTAAATAAAAATTGTAACATAGATGCCGGGACCAAAAAAAAAGGAAGGCGAACTGAATTTCGAGTTGACTCACTGTTCCGTGCAATAACGAGTTCTTGTAGCTCAGCGATTCGGGTGTTGAACGAAGATATCAGAGAGTCGAGAGATGAACCAGCTTGCTTAAGATCCATCTCTCCCTCGTAAAATCCAATTCTCGCCTACGAATGGGACCGATTGGGTTCGATCTATGATTTCAGGGATTTGAAAAAAAATTGGCGGGAAAGTGGAAAGGATTTAGAAACGGGAATTGCATTTACAGAGAAAACGATCGAGTTCGAGGTAAGTGGCTCCACAGGTGGACAAGTTGATATCTGAGACCGAGAGATCCAATGGACCGGCAGAACCAGACTCCGGCCCAACCAATCCGGCAAAAGTTTACCAGGTTAAGAACACGAGATTGGGCCATGCACTGAGACCAAGTAAGAGCAAACTGCAAATTTATTTTGGACTATGAAGTATATAATTATTTTTATATTTTGATATTGTTGTTAATATATAAATTTTATATACTATCCATACATGAACTAGCTGCTATGATTTCATTAATAAATAAATTTAAAAATCTTAAAATTGAAATATTTATATTTGATACTTTGTCGGTGTATGGATTTTGTATATTATCATTTAATCACATGAGTTTCTTCTCATAAAGATGTAAAGATAAAAATTCAAAAATCTTTCAAAATAAATATTTTTAAAATTATGAGTATTTATATTTTAAGATTCTCAATTTTAAATTTATTTAATAACAAGTTCGCAATATTTAATTCAATAATAGTGCATTGAATCTAACACATCGATATTTTTGAGAATTTTAAAATTTTTATTTTACACCTTTATGAGATGATGCTCTTTAATTAAATAATAGTGTACAGATATTATATATTGATAACGCATCAAATATAAACTCTTAATTTAATTTAATCTAAAGAAACTAGCAGGAAACATTCCGAGTCAACCATACGTAGTAACAAGAGACATACAAAGAAAGATTAATATTTTAAGGGTTCAATGGTATTATTTAATTGAGTTGAATTCAGCTAGTTTTCACTTTTCGTTAGTCTACTTCGCCCCTAAGATGGGAACTCAGTCCAAATTGATGCATTTTATTTGATTAAATTATTTTCTCCTTCGACCGTGTATCTTGACCTTTTAATTTTTCTTAAAATAAAGTTTGAGTATTATAAATAAAATGTTATAATATATATGTGGCTGTCTGGTGGGAACTAGTTGGTAAGCATATATATCATTGGGAAATGTCAAATTAATCGAATGTGGGATGTTTTGTTATACGTTGAACCAAAAAAAGTTATATATTAAGATATAAAAAGTGACCATGATTTTTCTCATAATAATATACTACTTTATTGGGATTTTAAAGGGCTTTTTTTTTAATTAAAACTGTAGTTTATTTGGTCTAGAGACACTCTTGGAAGTGATGCATCTTATGTCCCTTGTGCACAACTTTATCATATAGATACACATATTCTCCACATGGCTGCCCTCTTTTAAGGATAAATTTATACTGTTCTGATTAAACTTAAAGTAAATTTGGACCAAGTACTAAATTGGAATCAGATTATGCAAATTAAAAATATATTCTATGCAAAATAGTTATAATAATAGTAGAGGTTATTATAAGTTAAATCAATGGAATTATAACATGATTTATCGTAAATCTTTAATATATATAATATCATTTTTCTTATAAAAAACAAAGTTTAGAATATAAAGTTGAGATTATTTATAGACGATAGAATAGATTATAAGAGTTAGATTATGATTACGATTTTATTAAATTATGATATTGAGAATTTTTTGTGTATCTACATCATTCTCTTTTATAAAAAACACAATTCAGAATTCAGTTAATTCAGAAATGTTGCATTTAACATGGGCATGGCATATATAAAAATGCAGGAGAAAGAGTCCAGTCAATAGTTTCTACTTATAAGATTATACTTAATTAATTCCATATCTAGTTAGGTGAAACACTTCCCTAGCTAAGAACACTCACCCCCCCTCCCCCCCCTTCTCTCTTTCCGTGTTCTGAACAAATTTTTCTGTTGGTAGCATGTGCAACTGAAGATTCAAACTGTGGAAAGTGTAGAAACTGATTGTTAAAGAACAACTGATATACTGATAGCCAGCCGACCTCATTAAAGAAGAATCCAACCACCCGCATCTTAGACCTTACATTTATGCTCACCCGTCAATGTCCTAAGATTATCTCTCATTTACTACCATTTCCTCCCACTTTTAATTCACTTCCCTCCTCACTATCATCACCCTCCGTTGCCACTTTTTTTCTTGGATCAATACGATTCATGAACCTGATATTCAAAAACATCATTTAAGAACTCATTTGATAGTGACATTAACCGGCAGTTTCTCTGCACAACTGGGTACGTTGCGCATTAATCAATGCGAAAGTCCTTTAGCCAAATACAGGAAGAAAGAGAGATCCGGTCATTGGTTTCCTCTGGGTGGTTTTTTGGTGAAACACACAGACAGAAGATAATGCAAGGGACCTTGGGCATGACAACCATTAATATTATCACGCGCGCCTTCTTATTTGGACTAACGGGACATAGAGAATAAAACCAGTACTGGTACATTCATTAATGGAAGAAAAACATGCCCTGAATTGGTCTTTGATTGTCTCATTTACCTAAACAAAAGAATGGGCGCTGTTCACACCATAAGTTAATATAGGCAGAATGCTTGGTTTTTTTTTGCATGCATATGCCGCCTATGCCGACACCCATTTTCTGCCTTTGCAACTCTCGTTGTGAAAGGCATGAGATCTTCCAGGGTTTGCAGGTTAACACGCTTGCTGGTTACCAAAAGAAAAGATGAATGAGGCAGATATATTTCTCACTGAGAAACATATATATGATCCAGGATCAATGTACATCAAAATAGGAGGGAAAAAAAGGCCTCGTAACTCATTTTTTGATCCATCAGCCTATGTTATATAGTCATAGTATATAACTTGTTATGCCTATGCTGGGGAAAGATGAACATTTTTGAGCCCTAAGGTTTTGAGGCTCTATATTTTACAATGATGCTGGTATTTACCTTGGTTTCTGGAACTCTCTGGACATTCAAAAAGATGATCAATTCTTGAGCTCAGTTGTGAGAAGGAGGGTGTGTCTTTGGTGGTGAGTAATCCAGGTTAAAACCAGGATGTTTTTCACCATGTTTCCTATGAGGCACCCGCCATGAAACTGAAACATTAGACTTGTTTGCTCGAACTGCACCTGAAGTTTTTTCTCTCTCATTTTCTTTAAGATTGTCATCAGCAGCAGCTTCTAGCTTTTGAGTGTCATCATCTGCATGAGACTCCTCGATGCTGTCTTCTTTGATGGATCCGAGTTCTTTTGACGAGGTAGATTTCACTTGTACTACAATTGACGTGTTCTTCTGCAGAAGACCCGAAGGATGTTAAATAATAATAGCACTATATAACAAAACTGCAACATTGGAAAAGCAGAAGCAGTAGAAAGCTAGTGATGATGATTTATGATGACAATGATAAAGTATCTGATTGGACCAACCTTGATGGAGAAGTGAAGTTTCTTTTCAAGCCTCTTATTGTCAACTGCACCAAGGCGACGAGCACTACTTGCATGCACAGAAAGGCATAGAAGTAAAAGAAGAAAACAAGATGTGATTGACATGTTAAGTTAAAGTAACTGCAAAGAGTCGGAAAAAAGATTCAAGAAAGCAAAGGAAAAATTCCTTTGCAGTGTTGGGAGATAGTATAGCTTATGGAGGTATATGTAGTAAGAGCATTAAATGTAGGTATCCCAATAGATTGAAGAGAAGCTCTCTTAGAACGTGCAGATGTATGGGTGAGAAGAGGTAAGAAAGGAAGATGAGATATGGGTGGCCTCCCTTTATGTCCTTCTCTTTTCACATTTTAATCAATTGGGTCCCAAGACACAGACCTCCCCCACCAGGGAAAAGAGAAGCTAAAAAACACAGCTTTCTTCGGAAATATATGGAAAAAGAGAAGAATGAGAAAGAGTGAAGAGTGTCCAAAAGAGAGATATTCTTTTGAAATATCTTTAATGAAGGGTAAATGAGAAATACGACAAATGAATTCAAGAAAAAGCTAATGCATGCCTAATCTAAATTTGCGTCTTCCGAGGGACTCCGATTAACCCTTGTCCTTTGTATGTAAGAGTTTGCATTACTTGCATTTGCACGGATTGTGCCTCCTTGTTAATTGCCTTTGCCCACCATTTGGTCTTGAAAAACTTAAAAACTGAATATTCTAATGGTAAAACTCAAAAGTGGGAAAGCCTTTTTAGATCTAAGTCGACAGCAAAGATCTTCGAGAATGATGCAGTTAATGACTGAAATGTCCACCCCCCTCCTCCGCCCCCAAGCTAGCTATCCTACCATAAGAAAACGAAGATTTGACCTTTGAGGCCATGGCAATCAGCAGACCAGTTTTCCTGCCGAAAATGCCTTGTAAGCCTCTACGTTGACATGTTGAAGCTAGGCTTCCCCTTTGATCATGCTCTACGGCAAGGTTTTTCCTTTCCTCTGGAAAACCAACTGAAACAAATGAAACTTGTCTTTCCTATTGCAGTAGTTGTTCATGACATTCAGATATATGTGTAGAAGGTTGGAAAAGGACGTAGTGCAACAAGTAAGGAGTGTAGAATTTATGAAATCACAAATTTATCTTTGTTAAATTTTCAAGACCGATATCTAAACGAAGTGAGATCTTTTTGTGGCAAAAGAGTGAGTTATGACCTAGATGAATGAATGTAAAAACTTAGCAAGTGACAATCCATCGCCCATAATCCATGCCATGGTTGATCAGATTTACTGCAAACAAAATGGAATGACGTAAGCCTGTGGAGGATGTGATTGCACATGGCCCTCCAACATTAGCCAGTAGGGAAAAAAAACAACGGATTGGATTGGGTTTGGGTCGATCGGGTGTTAATTGCTCGAAGCATTTGTAACTTTAGGCAGGTCCAAAAAATGAAACAGAGAAATACATTTGGGGCCTACAAAAAATTTGTGTGGGTCCAGAGAAGAAAGAGGAGACAAGGGTACATGGACCACCACCTCTTTGTTCGAGTTGCGCGAAACACAAAAAGGGTCCCCTTAAACGTCAATACCGGCCATACATGACACGTGGTAAGCACCCATGTGATTCGTTCAATTGCCACGTGGAGTTGGGACCCCTTCCATGGCAGCCGAATCTCATTCCATCTATTTGTTTCGGTCCTTCCCTGATCATTGTATACGTAGAAGGCTCAAAGGACCATTGGCATCGGTGGTGTCGTGGTGTAGTTGGTTATCACGTCAGTCTAACACACTGAAGGTCTCCGGTTCGAGTCCGGGCGACGCCATTCAAATTTTTTTCTGTTTCGTCCGTCACAGCAAGAAGACTTACTGCCATCTCTACGGCCAGCTTCCCAAAGCAATGCAACATGCACAGATCAAATCTTCACATTTCATGTTCAAAATAGAAAACCAAACATTAATATATTTTATTTTTTATTTAATTAGTAATGATTTCCAACAATAATAAAGTTAAAACTTTCTTTTTCTCGTAAATATAAATACTTGGCGTGGCTAGATAAACATTCTCATGCCGGAGCATGCATTTTGCTTTTGATGTTTTGTTTGTATCATGCATTTTGGAGTTGAAGGTTGGCGGTCTCATGGGGGATGTTTCTGTTTGTTGGGTTTGGGAGGGAGCGACGGCGGGACAGGCTCGAGCTCTGAGAGGGATGGGGATGCGGGCCAGGTGGCGTTGACAAATCGGCTCCAATTGATATGTCCCGTAAAAGTCAAGCAGTCTGGGTCAGCTCGGGCTCCGTTGTCTGCACGGCAATTTTAGCTTTAATATTATTCATTCTGATCATATTTTTTTGCGTTCACGATTCTAATCTGGTGTTTCCCATTGTAAAGCTCACCTGGAACCTACATATAGCTGTCTTGTGTCAGACGATTCGTTGTTTACTTTATCTGATGCTAGCACTGAAGTGGGAACCCCTTCATCTCATGTCCGTTTTGACTTGCATCCGACTGAAGTCAATGAATTGATCCCCATATGTTCTTAGTTTGAAACTTGTACACTCTATACGTTGAAATTTCCTGTTCCGATACTTTATTTTCATCATTAATTCATCAATGACTTCCTGAATGAAAAGAAATAGAAAATGGAATAGACCCATTCTCCAAGTTAACTATCAGAAGATGAATCACTAAACTCTGAACCATGCCATCAGGCCCTCTAAGCTGGATTGAATTTTATAAAAAAGACATAGGATCACATGCATGCAGAGATGAGCAAGATTGTCGGTTAAGATTTCACAGACTTTGGATGAACTTAATTGCTTGTACAGAAAAAAATGACTACTAATAAAATGTTTAAGCAGAAGTAGAACATTGGATTATAAAAAAAATGCTCATGATTCGAGATGAAACACTTCCAAATTGTCAACTTCTGTTATTTCAACAGATCATCTTGCAAATCGACAATGGCCAATGCAGGAAATATAACACACTTCAATGAATTTTAAATTCTCATTGGTCTGACATGTTAGTCTGCTGAGAAGCTATATACAGAGAAACTATACACGTAACGACAGAGAGGGTCACAAATTAGGCATTATGCCACAATTATTTAATTATTTAATGGAAAGGGCGAGATAATCATAATAACAAGGCCACTGCATGATCTGCTAGCCAAATGTATTTTCCCCACTGTATGTAACATACAGAAACCCATCTTCATCCTTCTTTTCATCATAGATGGTGGACATTATCGCTCCTGCAATATGATTCAAGCTAATTAGTCAGACAGTTGAAAAAGAAAATGCGACGAATTAGCAATTTAACACTACTCAAAAAGTGAAAAGAAATTTGCAAAGTGGAATACCCGTTGGAGGGAGGACACTGTCCACAAATATGAAGATTGCCTTTTCAGCACTCAGTTTAATTCTCTTTCGGATTACATAGACAAACTGACCCACTGTCAAATCAGCTGGGACTAGGTATCTGTAAATTATTTAATCAAGTCATTACAGAAGTATCCTGTAAATTTAGTTCAATTGAGCTGAATATAATAAGCAACCCCTGTATCATTAGACGCTCTTAAAAGTAGATTGCAAAGTTGTCTATGAAAGGACACAAATGCAGTCAAACACTTGGTGGCTTCTAAGTGCCAATAAATGGTAGTAGTAATGATGGAAACAAGAAGGAATAGGTTTTTTAATAAAATAATAATAATAACACCATAGCATGTAAACTTTGCATGAAACTGCTGCTTACTTTTTCTTGTCGATGTTAGGAATATCACTTCTCTCTGCCTTCTCCACAATCACCTAAAATGCACAAGCAAATATCAAAAGAAGCACAATTGGAGTATCACAGTTCACAAAGTTATAAAGTTCTCTTTTGCATTATGCATGGACAAAAGGCCAAACATGCACAAGCAGATTCAAGCAGTCTCCAATAAACCTAAAACGGCTTTCACATAAAGTCCTTTTCTGTTGATATTTCATTCCAAGATAAACATATTTACCACTCTACACTTTCAAGGACTTGAGTTTCATGCTCTCTTTCTTCCTTCTTTTAATGGTTCTTTTTCATTTTTCCCCAGGGAGGGGTGAGGGATTTGAGGCTAAGATTTAATCTTTACAATGGGAAAGGTAAAGAGCACAACTATTCATTCCTTTTCCTGATCACTAGCTGTTCTAGTTTAGCCATGCCCAAAAGAGCAAAAATTTTCCTTTTTCTTCAGCTTGGAACTGGTGCGGTTTTGCTGAAACCAAAGTTACACGACATCCATTCTATTTATGTAATCATGTCTAGACAGCAATGCTAGTCTTGTCAATACCAATGTTCAACAATTGCTTAAAATCCTCAAGCCACATCTCATGAACATACATTAAACATAATAAAACTGACATCAACGTGATAGACATCATTACCCTGCAAACAAACCGATATAAATCTATAACATAAAAAATGTAATAATCCACTCCTAAGAAGAGCATTGCACAACCAAAGAATTAATCAGAGAGTGTACGTAGATAAGAGCTCTCTGTAACTTAGCCCATTGAATTATTTTATTGTCAAATTCCATGCTTAGTTCATAACAAAATCAATCATATGATAAAATGGAAGCTAAACTGATACCTAGCAAAAATTACACCCAAAGTTAAAATGCATATAACACTACATACACCATGACACAATCAATATTATTCCTTAACATCAGCAAAAATAAAAAAAAATAAAATAAAAACAAGAAAGATGGAAAAAAGATAAGGTTGAGGCTTAATTCTTACTGGGATTCTATCTGGGTATTTTTCCCTAATTCTTGCAGCCTCAGCACGCCTTTTTTCTGAATATTAAGAAGCCATAAATTAACAAAACCAACCAAAATTGCATAAGCAAACAATAGCTACACTAATAAAAGTAATACTAATACACGATCATCGCTAACATACCAAAGTCATGCTCAATCTTGAAGCTGCTTTTCGTCATTGTGCTGATATCTCTGCAAAACAAGCAGTACCCTAAAAGTCAACTAATGCCCAATTTTCACACAATAGCTTAGACAAAAACCATGAAATCAAACAAACAAAACAAAACTTTCAACTTCATATTACTATAAAAAGATAAAAAGAATCCGATCATCGCAAATTCAACAGGAAAAAAAAACACCCAAAACTCATCATACGAACCTTGATATTCGATTTCGATGAAATCAAGGACGATAATTCAAAGGTTTAATTTTCTTTCCTCAGCGGATATCAAGAAATAAAATCAATGAATCGAGACAATGAAGAGTAAACCAAAAAGGCAAAAAAAAACTGAAATATTTACGGATTGAATTAAAAGAAATGGATGAAGAAATCAACTGACCGACCGAACTTGCTGAGCTGTTTGTCCTTGAAGATAAACAGGAAAAAAGACGGTAATTGGAGTGAGATGACGGACAACTCTTTATTTAATACAGGTTTGGGCTTCTCCTACGGTACGCTTCCCCTCCGGTTCGGTTAGGCTGCTAACGAAGAAATGCCACGTCAGTATTTTCCGGAAATTCGACTTTGTTAAATACAAATCTTATCCGTCCATCCGTATGACCAAAAATTCCAATTATTGTTGTTGACTATGTACCATAATTATAACAGAAAAAATAATCCCAAAAGGTAAAGGGTTAATGAAATTAAAGGTGACTTAATCATTTCAACAATAATGGGGCCAAAGTATTGGAATGGGTTACTTAATCAAATGGATTAAATTTTAATTTATATATTTTTTATTAAAATTCTATTCAAAATTAATATTTAATAGCTGAACTCAATTATTAATACTTATAAAAATCTTGAATTAGAATCTAAAAAAATATTAAAAATAAATTATATATATTATTAATAAAAATTAAATTAATAATTTAAAATTTGAAATCATATTTAAAATAATTAATAGTTATTCTTTAATCATATAAAAAAAGAAATACTTTACATGTCATTCAACACTATAATCGTAATATTAAATAAAGAGTTACTATACAATTGAAAATCAATCTCTAGTTCAAAACCCTTATTAGTTATAAGATCAACCACTCAAATACCTTCTTGATAAGTATAATTTATTGAAACTTTCCTCCCACTGTTGATGTAACATTTCTTTAATTGCTTGTATTAAATCTAGATTAATGCAAGAGTGAGTGAAAGGAGAAGTAACAGCTTGCAAAAACCCTTATTAGTCATAAGATCAACTACTCAATTACCTTCTCGGTAAATATGATTTACTGAGACTTTCCTCTCACTGTCAATGTAACATTTCTTTAATTGCTTGTATTAAATCTAGATTAATGCAAGGGTGAGTGAAAGGAGAAGTAACAGCTTGCACTACCATTTTATTATCACCCTATAATTTAATCATGCAAAAGCCTTCATCCCAAGCTAGTTGAAGCCCGTGGAAAACGACCCATAATTAATAATTATAAAATTATTATTTATAATAAAATTCATGTAGTAGATGCTTATGACCATTATTTACACCTTACATCGAATTCGCCATAAATAATAACTTTACTATTTAAGTTTTATTTAAATCCATTTTTTTTAAATTTTATTTTATCGAATCTAATAATATGATTGAAAATTATGCATTAGAATCCCTACCAAAGTTGCTTGCAGCTGCTGGACATTTCCTTCTTGGCAGTAACCGTGGAGTTGCAATTAGAGGTTGCGTCTCCTACCAACCCATGGAAACTGTTCTCGTGAAGATTTTATCGTTTCACCATCAATCAATTATGCATCGACACCAGAAAGGGTGGCAATGAAGACGAAACTGGCAATCTGGCACCAACACCAACCCATAAACCTTTCTACCCTTTCTTCTTAAATGCTCCGAATGTCGGGAAAGCAACCAAAGTAAACCTTTTCCTCCTTTTATAAATCTTATCTTTGGAAAAAATCAATTTTCGCTATAAGCAAAATACAATCTTAAGTAAGAAAGTGTAATGAAAATTTAATAAATGTTGGATCCAATGCTAATTGATATTTCTTTTTGGTTGACGTATAATAAGATTTTATGATATAATCATGTGACAGTTAATGTAACCATATTAATTATTATATGATCATATCAATTGTTACATGATCTTATCATTAAATCATATCATATATCTCACAAATAAAGCATATCAATCAATGTAACACTCTGTGAGTATTTAAACCTTTTAATCATATTTTGTAAGCTCTAACCATGTTAATTATACGCATTGAACCATTGATTAATGGGCTCTGATTTAATGAATAAAAAGGCTCCCTTGCTAGGGAGACAAAGAATCAAGTGGACCAAAGTTTTGGGCTCAAAATTTAGCAGCGCAAGGAACAGAAAGAAGAAAAGCTAGGCCGGCTAGACCTAGTTCCTAGCTCAAACAAATTGAAACATGAGAGGTGCACATGGGCTTGGTACAATGCGACAAAAGCCAAAAATTCCCACATTTAGGCAATCCCATAACCAGCCACGGTCTTTTATCTACTAAACTGCAGAATAGCTAAATGACAAACAAAAGGGAAAAGCAGTGAAATCGAATGGACTTAAGAGGCAGAGGCCCATCTCTGCTTCTTTTAGCTGATTTTCTGAGCTCATGTACGTGGTTTCTTTTGATCATAAGGCGGGAGGCAGGGCAACGTTGGACATAAAAGAGCAGGCAGGGGTCGTCATCGACAGCCGGTTTTTTTATCCCGACAAGGCTATAACAAGTTAAAGATGAATTACATAATATCTTTCTTGCATGTTATATCGGAAAAATAAACTTTGTTAACCTTTCTTTTTTTTTCACTCAATATAATTCAATTGTACATTAAAAACTTATTAGTTTACACCAAAAATGTTGTTTGGCCTCCACATATTCAACTTCCCTTGCGATTGTTAAAATTGTTCATAAATAGAACCATATCGAATTAGTCGAATTTAATTTATATCTTTAACATTGAAACTTAATCTTTGATCATTCACTTAAATTAAATATTTATTAATATAATAATATCTTAAAATAAATTCAAATTCAAAATTCAACTAAATGGAACAGTTTAGTTTTTACAAATTTAACATCTTTTACTAATATTAAAAATATTCATAAATCGAATCAGATTAAATTAATCGAATTGAATCAATGACGAAGTCAAAATTTGAGGAGAAAACGTATATGAAAATTTTAATATTTGAGAAGATAAAATTATAAAATTTTTAAAAAATAAAAATAAAAATTTTAAATTTTAAAATAAAACAAAAAAATTTATAAATATTTGAAATATTGGGAGCCCTACGAAACCCCCCTCCCTGCGCCTCTTAATCTAATTGATACCTTTAAAATTTAAACTTAATTTTGAATTGTTCACTTAAATTAAATATTTAATAATATAATAATATGCCAAGACAAATCCAAACTTGAAAATCAGAAATCGACCCAAATCGAGTGGTATCCGGGCCGGTGGACAGGTCAAGTGGCCACCGATTGGATAAATTTCCGAGTATTTTTTTATTGCATGTAGAGTTTGCAGTTTCGTGCGGGACTTTAGAAAGTAGCAAAATAGCTTTATTTAATGAATATATATATATATATATATATATATATATAGAACAAAAATCCCAATTGCCCCTAACAACTCAAACAGCAAATGCCAAAAAACCTTGTCTATTTTAATTAATTTATTTAATATCAGAAAAACATGGAATAACATGGTGAAAGACTTTGTCACCAACCAGAGTAACGCAAAATAAAAAGTCAAAGACACATTGCAAAAAATAAAATAAAAGAAAACCCCATGGAATTTGTATATATGCATGAATTTGAGCTTGTAAGTGCTTAAAACTTGAGTGATCCGTGATCTAAATTGGCGGCGCTTGTGTCACGGAGTCGGCCCATGGTTACCTAAACTATTATGTTCCATGTGGACCAAATGAATAATTTTGATTTTTTTTTCAATGTTTTATTTTAATTTTTCTTAATCATGGCCTGCCCTCACATCCAAGACGAAAACAGCATATAAAAAAAATGGGTTTATGTAACATTTTTGGCAAAAAGCCTTTCCCAAACCTTGTAGAGGCTATCACGTCATGGTTCATGATTAGTGGTCTTCAAAGAGAAAAAACAAAGCTAATTTACCCAAGAAGTTTCTATTATCCGAAACGCCTTGTGTTTTAGCTTTGTGACGGTGGCTTAGACTAGCAACCTTTTTTTCCTTTGCGAGTTGCTTGAGATTTGGGGTGTCTTGAGAAGAGAGAAAAGAACTTGTCATCACCAAGCCCTTTTAGCCAACAAAAAGATTAGAAAAGATAGAGAGAGAGGAAGGTGATTAAGAGAGGGATGATAAAATTTTTGAACCGTATTGAAATAGAAAAATGAAGAAGGGGGGCGGGGGGTTGGGGAAGAGAGAAGAAAGAGGGACGCAAAGGGGATTTTTTTATTTTTATTTTTTATTATTGTCAATAGGAAAGGAAGGGTTGAGTTGGGTCACTTTACACTTCATATGAGAGAGAGGAAGAGGGGGGGAGTTGTTGTTACCAATCACATGGGGGAGGCTGATAAACAAAGCCTCCTCCCCGACATGTCCAAATCATGGATTTCCTAAACAATTAATGGCAAACCTAAGCATGTCTCCCCTCCCCACATTAATACCCAAAATTTCAATCTTTTCTAGACAAATAGACAGCCAAAAATACCTGCTCCCCACACTTCCTGTAATGCCCCTTAGGTTTTTCCCATTACTATCATCTCGTATATTTCATCTCCACTTTATATTACACTTCATATATACACACAATTTATATTATATATATATACATATACATACATATATAATTTAATTATAGGTCACGAATGCAAACTTCGTATTAATTTGATAATGAATCACACAAGTAAAGGGGAAGTTTATTACCCTTTTCATATTCATGGATTATATGATCATTGGTTGACAGGGGAAGTACATGTAATGTTAGAGGGGGAAAGTGACATTATTGATTCCAAGCAAGTGACCCTCAAGAACAAATATAGACAAAAAAAAAAAAAAACTCATCCCAGTCCCAAGAGATGCAATGAGTAAACAAAGGGAAAATTGACAGCAACTTTGACTTTTTTTTAAAGGTTAAAAGCAGACCATATTAAACAAGGGGTTAAAAGAAAAAGGGAAATGTTTGTGAAACATGGCAGTTGAAAAAAGATTAAAAAAAAAGAAGGAAAACAATCAGAAGGATTACCCCTTTGTTCTAAATTTATGCCCCACGCTTTATGATTTGATTGAGTGATAGTAACACATTGCCAACACACACCAATTTTATTTCGTCTCAAAATAATATATTTCATAAATTTTATAAGTCTTGCTGTTAAATCATTGACG